CATAGTGGAATGTACTTGGGGTGGTGGGAGGGGTGCAGGGGGTTTGTGTACTGGGGAGGGAGTCTTTCTTTTACTTTTGAAAGAGAGGAGCGAACTGGGGGGCAGGGGGAGAGGGCTGGGCGGGTAGAGAAGTGCAGCAATAAAAGAAAGAAAAAAATACTAGTTTTGTTTTACACACTGAGGACTTTTGAGTTATTTTTATTTTGTTTTCTATTATTATTTTAATGAAAATTTACAAAGCATATTGGTTTTTCATTCAGCAACATTTTGTTTTGTAATTGCATTTCTCACAGTGTAGTCACACTTTTCCTAATGTGTCACTGTAGTTCTCATTTCCATTAATTCTTCTATCCTGTCCTTTCCTATCTTGTGAGAATTTTTTTTTGAGCAAGTGCTGAACTTTTTAACTTTATATGATTGGTTAGGCAAGAGTGCCTTCCTGGTGTTATTGGCCTTTTGATTGGTTGAATGTTGAGTCACAGAGGTGAGTTTTGTTCCAGGTCCAAAGGACTACTAAGGGCCATAGTCCAGGCTTACTGGTCTGATAGAGACTGGTGAAGTCTCTGGGTTTTAATTCAGACTTTTAAACACTTGTCACATAGGCAGGCCAGATATTGCAATTTTGGATCAGCTTAAAACTTGCAAAGAATCATTTACTTACAGTTGAAGAAGAGAGCCAGGTGGTGGTAAAATTATCACCTTTCATGTGGTAACTTCTTCTGTGTGCTTTTAAGATTTTGTTATTGAGACACTGTAATGAATTTTAAAAACATTTCATGTAACTTTTTTTTTAGTTATAAAGTTTCTATTTGGTTATTTTTATAGTTTTTATTTCCTACTAAGATTTTTTTTAATCAATGTTTTTGTGTGTCACGAGTTGGAACTGACCCATAGCTCACTCTCCAGTGGGTTTTCAGAAGTAGAAAACAGAAGCCCTTACAACCAGGAGAAGATAAAATAGATGAATGGGACCTTCTAAGAATCAAATCCCTATGCGCATCCAGAAACTTCTCCAACAGGGTAAAAAGG